TGTTTTGAGATTTACTGAGCTAATGAATATGAAAGTGCTTATAGTGGATGAACACATGATGTAAAATAATCCTACATTAATTTTTAGCTTCTATCAGCATAAGTTGTTATCGAGTTTTCATTTTATTTGGCCCTGCTTTGTGTTCTCAGTGGGATGAAGAGGAGCACTAAGGAAGAAAAAAGGCAGCACTGGCCCTTAGGATTTTCCAGCACTTTACTTTAAAAAGTTTATTCTCTCCCCCGCCTTTTGACATGCTGATTTATGAAGGGGTTTCAGAAAACCTATGGGAAGAAGCCCTTTCAGTGTAGACTGTTGCTCTTTATTTGTGATGGCCATCTTACAGTCCATGTCCACTCTGGGCCCCTTGCCATTCTGGACCAGGTTTCTAGCACCTTGCCTGCCTCATCCTCCTGTCCTTGACTCTAATACGATGCCCACTCATGCTCCCAGCCAAGCATGAGGTCTGATTGGCTGGTGGACACTCCTCTTGTAGGAAGGTGAGACCTTATCTCTTGTCTCAGGTGGAAGGAATGGATGTCAAGGCTCCCTTACTAAGCTCTGACTTTTTTGCCCTTGTCTTCTGCCGTAGGCTGGCATTCCTTGGAGATTGCCATGTGTCTCAGTGTCAATCTTCCCGTGGATCTAGGAGTTCTCAGTGCAGGGATCCCAGGACCAAAGGATGCAGTTTACACCTGGCTCTTGTTTCTTGGTAGTAAGGTCCCCTCATCTCTTTTGTTGTTGTTGTTAGGTTTAGGGTTAGGGTTAGTGCTAAGTTTAGACTCAGAGTTAGGGTTGGTGTTAGGGTTAGGTTTAGGTTTAGCGTTAGGGTTTGCAATGGGGATGGGGTTAGGGTTAGGGTTGGTGTTAGATTTAGGGTTCCCCCTCATCTCTTTCAGTTTCATTTTTCATAAGTTTCTGACCCCTCACACTTTGTATTGGTATGCTTGCATTTGCTTGCTTGGCATTTCCATGCTGTGCCTCCCGTCCAGTCTACAACTGCACTTCTCATCATAGTTTAAACCCCGTCACACGTTTCCCGTTTTGGAGGTCCTGAGATCTGACTAACGCTAAGATAGTAATTTCTCCTCCTCTTAGTGTGTATATCTGGGATCATAGCCTTCTGGATAAGCCTCTGTGTCCTTTACTAGCTTGTGCATCGTGAAGAGGGAAGGACAGTTCTTGCTTCTCTTTGCCACCCCGGCACATGGACTTGCACAAAATGCATACAGTGGTGCTGCTTGTTGATTGAAGTTGCCCTGCCCTGACTTTTGAGGAGCGCTGGTGGTCCAGTGGTTAAAGGGTTCAGCTGCTAACTGAAAGGCCAGTGGCTTGGACACATCAGCTCTGCAGGTGAATAATATAACGGCAGTCTGCCACATTATATTACAGCCTTAGAGACCACATAGGGCAGTTTTACTCTGTCGGAATTGACTTGACAGTAATGAATTGGCTTGGGTTGGGCTTGGTAACTGACTTCCTAGGATATTCTGGGCAAGTCATTGGAACAGTTTGACTTCAGTCTTTCCATCCACCTCACATACACCAGAGTGTCGGATCTGCTAGACAATTTCTAAGACTCCCTCCAGTTCTGAAGTTGTATGGTTTCATGAATCCCCATTCTGGATTTCCTAATGGAGAAGACAAGTCCATATGAAAATTGAGTGGGAAAAATATAGATAATGCATGTAATAATCATGTGAAACCTTGAAAAAATTAGTTTATTGTTGAGAAAGTACACAGCAAAGTATGCACCAATTCAGCAGTTCTCACATGTACGCTTCAGTGGTGTTGCTTGCATTGTTTATATCGAACCACTCATCCTCGTTTTCTTCTCTTTTTCTAACTTCTGTGTTGTTTCCTGCTCACTCTCCACTCTTCCTGCCTCTATGTCTCCTCGCGGTTCTCTAGTTTGTTGCGATGGCCACACAAAACTCACAGACAGTACTTAGGTTACCAGAATCCAGGAACAGCGAACAGGAAGGATACCTGTAGTCCAAACCAAAGCAAAGCGCCAACGCTCTCTCTGGGCCTCAGCCTCTCAGCCAAGTGGTCCCCTGGCCTCTGTTTCCACGGGCCAGGCAGCCAGCGTGTTTCTCTAATCTGTCTTGTGGTCTCCTTGCTTCAGCCTCTGGTGCCTTTGGTCTTTTCCCGGCTTCTTTGGTCTGTCCCTTGGCCTCCATTCAGCAGTCTCTGGTGCCTCTGGTCTTGGCCACTTCAGACAGAGATCTCAAATGTACACTGCTTCCGATTGTCCTGGGATTTCTCGCTCCTCTTACTGAGACAGCTCATCCATCTGAACTTGGTCTGTGGATAGGCGCTGCTTTTTTTAAACTCACAAATGGTTGGTTATTTTAAGGTGTGTATACCTCCCTATTGTTCTTTTCCGTAGAGACTTTTCTGTTGTTTGGCTGAAGATTGAG